GCTGGGCAAAATTAAAAAGACATCCGAGTTGAGGGACAGAATTTAAACTCGAACTATTAAGGTAGGCTAGATGGCGCATGCCGTCACCCCGATTCAAAGGGGAGGCCTTTAATCATCATCATCATCATCATCATCTGCGAAAGGTAAACACAGCGAGATGGTAGCCGCCTGCGATGTGTTGATGGTGAAAACTCCGATGAAATCGTGGCCATGGCCTAGGCCACTCCCAAGGAGGACTGGAGTGTCGTCGCTGCTTCATGTGATTGCTGGATGCTGAGTTGAACCTGGTGGTTGGAGCTAGCGGGGCCATCCACCGCGCCGCAGCTTCATCTGAGTGTGTGCGCCATAAAGTTTCTCAGTATGATGTGCGGATTACAGTCGTTGGACGTACTGCATTTTCTAGATTGCAATGCCAAGCGTGGTGTTGTCAAAGGAGAAAGTGTTCTTGCTGCCGAGTTTTGCTTGCCGCGAAGGACAAGGTCGACGATGAAATAAATGCTTTCGCAGAGTTCACGTGTGACTGACCGGACGCACATGCATGAAACCCCAGTGCGTCGGCGAAGTGTTCATACGATGAATGGAAACAACTTTATTGTAATGTTCTTACGAAGCCTGTGATCTCCGAAGGGCAGAGCTACTGCATCGCTGTCTGTTTTGTCAAGTGCGAACACGTACGGCCGTTCTACTCCGTTGATACGTGTATGCTCCCGTGCTGTCACAGGCCGCGCGTGTTATTGAGCAAGGCAGACAAGCTGTTTTGTAGTTAGATGGGCTAACGCCGTCGGCACTTGCCCTTGGGCATTGTTTATCAAGTGCTGATCGCCTAGAACATTGCGGTGACACGTCAGTATTTTTAAAGAAAGCGGCCTGCCGGTTACCTCGTTAGGTGATGGTACACTGAGCGACATAAAAAAAGTTGCCCGAGACTACGTTGCAGTGCACCTTTCTGTCATCAAAACTTTGATAAACCGTGGAAATCCACATTCCTGTGCCCAAGAAACCAATGCAGCCAGCTGCATTCGATTTTTTGTGTTTTTTTTTGCATCTCGCCGATTAAGAGCACTAATTCGAAAAACACTTTATCATAATAAATATAGTCAATCCTGCAAGAGTTATCGAAGATCCAATATTAAAGGGCCTGTGGACGGCACCACCACCAACAGCAAGTCGGGCTGATGAGGAGGTGCAAATGTTAAAATAATACATGCGAGAACAAAAAAAAAAAGAGAAAGTATCGATAACTGCAACGGGACTTGAACCACCGACCTCACCAGTTCATGCGTTGCTTTAACCAACTACGCCACAGCTGCCGATCGGTTTGAGATGACAAACAAGCCTGTTTTGTATTGTTGTCACGCTAAACCTAAATAACATTTTTGTTCATTTTTTTGTTTGGAGGTAATTTTAACGGCTTTTATTGTTATGTCTAGACGTACTGCTAGACACTCCCGACTATTCAAACAAAGCGCCTAACCGGAAAACGCGAGACGTCACTTCCGTGCGGCGCAGCAGCCGTCTCTGTGTGGGGCAGGCTCGAGCGCCGCGCGGCGCAGCAGTCTCTGCCTTTCTTTTTTCATGAACCAAACAGAAGTGAACAAGCAGCATTTTATTACGTCTCCTGATGCACGGAGGGATCTTTATTTAATAATAATAATAATAATAATAATAATAATAATAATAATAATAATAATAATAATAATAATAATAATAATAATAATAATAAAATAATAATAATAATAATAATAATAATAATAATAATAATAATAATAATAATAATAATAATAATACCTTTTATTTCTTGAAATAAAACAGTACATGTGACTAGGCCTGCCAAAGCCAATTGGTAACTTGAGTGGCAGAGCCTGGCAGACAGTAAAACAAACCGGACGCGTTACAAGATTGGCCTAAGAGAGATGATAGGACAAAAACAACATGCATATGAGATTAGAAACAAAAGGGCATATAAGCAACAGTTACAAGCATTATACAATAGTTACAGCAATTGAAAGTGAAAAGGTGTAAAGAAAAAAAGAGAGAATTAGAGCAAATGCTTCTTAAGCAAAGTAACACACTGGATATTTGTGCAGCATCATGCTTGCGAATGAGTGTATATGAAATAACACACGACATGCATTACAATTGTAGACAGATACGCCGTAGCAGTTTCTTTAATTTGTATTTTGTTTTTGTGCGAAAAATGCTGGGGGAAAGTACATTGAAATAGGTTGGTACATAATGGGCTCGTATTCTAGTTCCATACTTTGTTGAACACCGCGGCCTCCAGTAACGTACTTTGGGCCTTAAAGAACGAGAAGTAACATACGGAACCAGGAATTCTTTGGACCAGAAATGTTTGAAAACAATCGTTTGAATTAACAGACCACTGAAGTTTGGCATAAACAGCGTTTTGAAAATGGGTTTCTCAGAATTAATGTTCAGGTCGTAAGATATATTTTTTTTTAAAATCGAACGCAATATTCTGTTTATTCTATTGTGCCAACGGACAGCATAGTGTCCGTAAATGGTTATTCTGTAACGCAGTATACTGTAACCTAAAGCGTGTGCTATCATCTTACGTACTGAAAACGGCATGTTGTATCTTATGTTATATAATAGACATGACACAGTGCGAAGTCTTTTGCAAACATAGGCGAGATGACTATTCCAGGAAAGCTCGCTGTCAATGTATAAGCCAAGGTATTTCACAACAGATGAATACTGTAATGGACTGCAAGAGCAGGATAAACAGTCAGAACAATGCAAAATGAAAAGATAGTCAAGGGTTACTTTTTTCAATAGATTGTGGAGGCAGATTAGATTAGTTTTAGAAACATTTATATTAATAAGGTTATCTCGAAACCAACCCATGCCTTTAGTGGCAGCTGACTGAAGAAGAGTAATCGCCTCATAAAAGTTGTTTGCAGTCGTCACGATCACAGTGTCGTCGGCGTATTGATATAGAGAAACTGGTATCGCGCAGTGAAGGTCATTTACAAAAATATTGACAAGCAGCGGACTAAGAATTGATCCCTGTGGAACGCCGGTTTTGACAATTTGGAACGCACTGTGAGATTGTTCAACGGATACAAGTTGACGCCTGCCTTGGAGAAAATTTGCCAACAAAGACCAGAAAGCACCCCTAAACCCTAACTGAAAAAGTTTATCCAATAACAAGGTATGATGGACACTGTCGAAAGCCTTGCTGCAGTCAAGAAAGAGCGCACAGGCAACTTTGTTGTTATCGAACGCCTCGTTCAACTGATCAGACAAGTCTTCCAATAGCGTCTGAGTGCTTTTCCCCTGTCGAAAACCATACTGGCAATGCGATAAGATGTTGTGACTATCGAGAAAGCTTGTCATCGTTAACAACAAATGTTTTTTCTAGTATTTGTGCTATAGAAGGCAGAATTGATATCGGACGATAATTTTCAAGTTTATCACGCGCACCGCATTTGTGTATAGGTATAACTATGGATGTTTTCAAGTTTATGGGAATTTCTCCACTAGAAATAATGCGATTTATTAGTGCTAGCAGAACTTCATGGGTGTATTCAAATGTACGGTGCAAGTCTGTTATAGAAACACCATCAATACCAGCAGATTTTTTACACTTCAAACTGAAAATGATAGATCGTAAGTCCTCATGTGATATTGAAGGTAGATAAGCTGATTCGCTAACACTGTGACGTAAAGTGCACGTGCTTACTTGAAAATTTGTGTTTTTAATTGTTCGAGAGAAAAAGTTGTTAAATTAATCAGCAATCTCCTGTGCGTTATTGGCTTGACTCGAAAAAAAAGTTATTCAAAATATTGACGCGAGTGTTTGCGCCTCTAAAGGTGTTAATTAACGCCCAGGTTTTTTTTGCTGCTTTTACTGGCATCCTTAAATTTGGCTCGGAAATGGGTTCGTTTAGCCGAGCGAATCATAGCACTAACCTTGTTTCTGCTTTGCTTAAATTTGGCTCGCAAGTCTGAACAGTTAGGATAACGCTTACTTTGTGTCCAAAGCAAGTCCTTTTCTTTTATTGCAGCGAGTATATGTGTTGACATCCATTTATTATCCAATTTACGTTGTTTAATGTGTATCGTTCGCGTCGCACTTTCTTTTAAGCTTATGAACGCTTCTACAAATTTATCGTAGAGGTCACTAGGAGACGTTATTGACAACAAAAAATTCCAGTCATAATGAGCTACCATATTATCAAACTTTTTTGAATCTAGCACCGAAATCAGTTTTTTTGTATCGGTTGGCGTCGTCGTCATATGTGGGCAGCTGATTGAGCTGATTTAGTGCAGCTAGTTCAATTACTAGTGATTATTGTAAGCGGCATGTATCACGTTATTGGGACCATTTTGCGAATGTCCTACTCGTGGCGCATGTGCTCTCGTGCATTTACCTTAATTTATCGGGAAGTAGGGTACTGCTGTTAATAATACTGTCGTTTTAGACGTTGACATGCATTGAGCTTTCACTTTGACATAAATTGTTATTTGCCTTTAGTTTCCTTTTAAGGTACCAGAGAACACACGTAGTAGCTTCACGTGCCGCAGCCAAGTGCTATGTTCATTTTATTTTGTTGGGCTCGCGCATGATCTCTGGTTTTTGTTCGTTGCCTAAAGGAGGGCGCCACAACAGAATAGTCTGTAATCGTGTGGCGTTGTCACATGACACCACACCAGCATTTGTTCCGTCACGATGACGTCACACATTTCTGTGATCAGTGAGGTGGTGGTGACGTCATGTGCTGGCGTCACCACGGGATTATTTATTGCGTCACTCGTCCCCGACGTCAAGGGTCGGTCGCCGCCGATGGTCAAATTTTCAGTTTGATAAGGAACATAAGGCTTTGGCCTTAATAAAGGAGTTAGCTACTAGTCTTACTTCCTATAACATTTCATTGTGTCGCTATCTCCCTCATTTTTTTTTTCCCTTGCGGTGAAACTGAGTTCTTTGTTGTTGTTTTTTACCAACACCCGGCTGTTCTGCGCTACATGTTCAGGTGTCAGCTCTCCGAGGGTGTCGTCGAGGAGCGGACGTGCGCTGCCCAGCGCTCGCCGGGTGTCCTACACCGTGCACCCCGAGCGGAAGGTCTACGACGGCCGTTGGTCCTCGATGATGGTGCACTTCTCGCAGTTCGTCGCGCACGACATCAGCGCGACCTTCTTGGTCGACAAGGAAGGCCCCGAGTTCTCCGAGAACCTGGGTACAATGTCTTCTGGCGGGTCTTGCACTTTCCGCTAGCTTTGGCCGAGACACTAACGCAAACCCAACGCAAGCTACAGCTGTAGTGGAAGCCAAGTTGGTAGCATACTGCACTTGTGCAAAGGGAGAAAAAATGCGCACGTCACACCAAGAATGTTGAGTTGTGTAGCTATACGTACAGAAGGCAGAGCAGTATTTCGGAAAAACTTTTATTCATTCATGCGCAGCAATACGGAAATGTCACTGATACACACCATTCCTTCTCATGGCTTAAAAAACTTAGCTTCAAGAAGCTTGTCACCACTCGTACTCTCTCACGTCTGAACACCTTCATCCCTCGTGGTCCATAGAACGCTAAATATGACTGTCAGTGAGACGACTATCAGGAGCGCAGCCAAGGAGTGGGAACTTCAAACTCTTCCCCAAATTTTCCATTTTGTGTTGCGTATATATACACGTACATGTACAAACGCACGCACTAACATACATAAGGTGTGTTTGAGGCCCCCCTCACCCCCTTGAAAAGTTCTGGCTACGGCCCTGCCTGTTATGCTGCATTTCTTTGTGAATAAGATAGCACTGCCACCAGTACAGTTGAAAGGTGATCATCATCTTGTACTTCCTGTATCGGTACAGTTGTTAAGCTCAGAGAAATGCCGGTGCCGTAGACACAAAACTCGGCAGGTATGTTCAAGTTCAAATTTATTCGTTATTATTGCATGCACAAAAAAAATGTCTTACGTAATACATACTGAATAAGGAGATCCCAAAGTGCGAGACTGTCAAGGGGACCTCCTATAATTAGTGGCGGACATAAAAAAAGTAACAAGAGCAAAATAGCGAACAAATAAAAAGTGCAATCAATACAGAACGATGCACATTAAAAAAAGAAATATATATTCACCCAGAATCATTATACAAAACTTGAAAATTCCCATACAAAACAGTGAAGTAATGATGAAAATTAATTTATTACAGATTAACAAAATGTTAATTTAACAGTATGTTCTTCATGTTATGTTTAAAAGATTGCAGTGACCGAGGTGATTTACCATGAAAAGTTATGTGATTCCAAAGATGAATTCCATAGAAACGAGCTGTAAAACTGCCATAGTTTGATCTTATTTTAGATAATAAGGTTATTGTTCTCGGAAAACCTGGTATTATTGTTGCTGAGAATGACATGGTGAGGAGTACTATTTAATGATATTTCACGATGAATGAGATGGCATGTGATGAACGACAATGTGAGTCGCAGAAATCGAGCATGTGCAGCTCGTAGCACAGCATAGTCATGCACAGTGTGGTGCAGCCAGGGTGTGGGAAAGCGTATAGTGAGAGTGAGGAGGATTGACGTTACGCCTAGGAGGAGGAAAATGAAGAAAGGGCAATCTAGAAAAAAATAGAAAAAAGAAAAAGCAGAAAAAGAAGAATGATACAGGAATGAAAGGATAAATAAAATCGGGGAACCCTTAAGCTTCGCCTTTATTACTTCAACGCGGTAGCGATATTCTGGTCCTAGTGCGTACTTCAAACACTTAGTGCATGAAATCTTTTGAAACTTGCTATGCACCCACTACGTGACTTTAAGGGTGCAGTTGCGTGCGTGCCTTTTGTCGGGGGTGACTGGCTTTAAACTATCAAGTCCTTATAGTAATCTGGCGCCCGATGGCAATGTACGCTTGTACCACGCATTATTACGGGAATATTTCACGTTGTATTGTGAAGCATGTATGCAGGACTTGTGTGTTTGGAAATCGTGAAAGTTACTTTCACTGCACTTCCAGGCGAAGGAAGGTATCTTCACTGTATTCGCAAGCGGGGGCGTGGCTGCCTGGTAGAACACTCGCTTGCCACGCAAGCAACTTTGGTTCGATCCCCACGGAGACCCAAATTTTCGTTATTTATGTATTTAATTATTTATTAGCGTCTTTTTTGATTTTTTTGTTCAGACAAAGGTGATATATTTTCGCTCACGATCAATGACACCGACGCCGTAATTTCTGTGAAGTGAGCTCTTTAATAACGCTATCGCGTTAAAATATTACGATGAAAAAAAAAAAGTACTCACTCGGCGTCCCCCAAGAGGTGACGGTTGCTCACCAGCTGCTGCTGTTGATTCAAATTTTGCAGGCGTAGAAATGGCTACGTTACTACGTTATTTTCTACGTTATTTTTTGTCAGGGTTTTGTCAGGAAGACTGTTCTACAACGCACAACGCAACACTATAGCCAGCCGCTATCTTCCATATAGATTCTGTTACAAGTGGCTGTAATAAGTCGCTGGTTTCGTTAACTCGTGTTCGAAGCCGGGAGGGCACAAGAAACTGTACATAGTAGCTGCATCTTATCAGCACTCACATACGGAGCAGAAAACTGGAGGCTTACAAAAAGAGATTCAGCCTAAATTGAAGACAATGCGATGAGTGATGGAAATTGTAGGTATAACTTTAAGAGACAAGAAGAAAGCAGAGTGGGTCAGGGAACGAACCGGGTTAAAGATATAATAGTTGAAATCAAGAATAATAAGTGGACGTGGGCCGGGCACGTAGCGCGTAGGCGGGATAACCACTGGTCACCAGTGGTTACTGACTGAATTCTCAAAGAAGGTAAACGCGTGAGAGAGAGACAGAAAATTGAGTGGGCACATCAGATTAAGAAGTTTGCAGGCATAACGTGGCAGACGAGAGCACATGACCGGGTGGATTGGCAGGACATGGGAGATGCCTTTGTCCTGCAGTGGGCGTAGTTAGGCTGACGATGTTTATGTGTCATAATGGCTGTTTTATACTTCGTTAGCTCGTTATGAGACATGGAATCGAAGTTTTTTTAAGGAGTGGCCTGAATCATTGCCGGTGCAACGATCCGCTGTCGTGCGCAGGACGTGACACGTACGAGTGCTGTGGCGCGAACGCTAGTGTGAACCCCGAGTGCTTTCCCATTGACGTACCCGCCGAGGATCCCTTCTACAGTCGCTACGGGAGCCGCTGCATGAACTTCAAGCGATCGGCTCCGTGTCTCACATGCAGAATGGGTGAGCTACAGACTAGTTATACGCTGTATAAAGCACTTCTGCATTTCCTTTTGTTATGGCACCTTCTTGGGTAAACGCAAATATTGATGTCTTAATGCATTAACTATTTAATTGTTTAAAAGCAGGTCTGCCATATTGTTTTGTGGTTGGAGTCGTTAAAGCCGTATATCATTATGATTAAATTTGTGACTCCGGGACCCCCTTATGTACAAATGTGAATGATGAATAAAAAAACGTAAAATAAAATGGTAAAAACAAGAACATGATGCTGTTCTTGAGTGAGCGTTGAACACAATAAATTTGGACATGTTGTAGCTTTAACAAAGATTTTTATTCTGTTTCTTTTTCACTCCCTGTTTAGTTGTTAATTTTACTCATTATGTCTTAAAATGTTAATTTTACTCATTATGTCTTAAAATGCGTGTTTGGACATCCCGTCGCTTCACAATATCCTGATGTTCTGTATTCTGTAATGCCCCTTGGCCCTGAGGGTATAATAAATAAATTTAGTGCTTTTAAAAATCTCAACGTGCTGCTGGAAAAAGTGCCATCTAGCGCCTTTGCCGAGTGTTGAAATCTAAAATTTGTCAAAAAGAAAAAAAAAAGAAAAGAAACGCCGTTTCGTAAAAACAGTTGGTGTGCGTTTCCGCCAGACTGGTGTAATGACGCATGCCCCTCTCACTGTTCCCAACATTACCTTTATTTGTTTACAGGACGTCGGGACCAAGTTAACTTTGTTACATCGTACATCGACGGCTCGCCAGTTTACGGGGCTAACGAAAATCAGACGCGAGGCCTTCGTCTTCTAAGGAGCGGTGAGAGCATTAATTTATATCGGCTATTTTGTACATGCGGGTGTGTATGCAAGTGTGCATCTTGGTCTTAGGGCGTGTCCCCAGGCAATTAGCTAAGGATAGAGTAATAACTTTAATTGCAGAACGCTTTCAGTTGAATTTGTTGGGGCTATAGGCTTATGGGTGTGCGCTTCGATAATGGTGCCACAATAAGAGAAGGAAAAAAAAACGCATGTATGTAAGAAATCGTTCCTATCTGTCGTAGGCGTATCATTATTGCTCACGGATTCGGACTATGGAAAAAGACTCGGTCTAAGAACTGTCCTGCTCAGCACGCTTGAGAATTATTTGCACATTCATCTTTGGTTATTAAGGAATAGTAGAAATTTCATGCATGCTATTTAAAGCACGATAACTTATTTAAAAAGGTGGAGGGAAAAGGGGGATGTTCCAATACCTGAGTAGTATTCAACTACAGGTGTGTTATTAAAGTTTTTTGGAGAAATTATCAGCTGAATTGTGTAAATATGTGAGTGAGAATGGTTGCGCAATTATGTCTGGCATAATTACGTAGTTATGTCGGGTTGATTGATCGACTGACTTACGATTGTCATTACCTGCGTACTTCTGTGCAGGTCTACTTAAGGAACAACTCGTCAATGATTCAAGACTACTGCCCGCAAGTTCACGACCCCGGATTGACCAATGCAGTAAATTGAGAGAACGCCGTTTTTGCTTCGAGGCCGGTGAGCAAGATCGCAGCCCACTTTTGCTTTAATGGTGCGTGTCGACGTAATCACAAATAGTGTTCACAATGTCATTATATATTTATCAACAAAATAACATTTGCCTATAATAGCCAATTCCTATCGACTGTATAAATTATAGTGACGTACTTTTCCCCCTTGAGATTTCTTTAATGAAGTGGTCCTTACAATGAATAAAAAAATTCATTGTGACTTTAACTTGGTTAACCTCGTAAGCACTACGAGACAGTGGAGCTGAGAGGACGCCTCAGCGATGGAGCGCAAAGTAATGCAAAGCTATGGGGACATCTCGTTGCTGACGTCACACCACCAGCGCTCGGGATGACTGTAGGTTTTCTTCTTCCACGCCTGACCCCGCCCTTCCACATGTGCTTCTCATCCTCGCTCACCCGTTCCCCCTTTCCACTTGACAACCTGCATGTCTACGGCGAGTCAGGTGGAGGAGGCAAAATTTTATTGATGAAAAAATTTGGGCACGTACGTCCCAAACCTTTTGCACGATTCCACCACGCTATGCGTACAGGAGTTCAAACATTGCTGTGACCCCACCTTGCGCGACTTTTCGTCCCAGTACAGTTTCTTCATCTGATTACTCATTTATCTCCGCTCGTTCACAGGAGACCGCAGACTGAACCAGAACTCTGGCCTTTTACTGATGCACACGATGTGGTTCAGGGAACACAACCGCGTAGCGAGAAAAATGGCACAAATCAATCCTCACTGGGACGATGAACAACTATTTCAAGTTTCCAGGTGAGGAGATGGTGCCCCGTGGCTGTGGTCTAGTGGCTAAGGTCTAGTGGCTGACCCACAGGTCGTGGGATCGAATTCCGGCTGTGGCAGCTGCATTTCAGATGGAGGTGGAAATGTTGTATAGGCCCGTGTGCGTGTGCTCAGATTAGGGTGCACGTTAAAGAACCCCAGGTGGTCGAAATTTCCGAGACCCTCCATTATGGCGTCTGTCATAATCATATGGTGGTTTTGGAACCCCACAAATCAATCTAGGTGAGGAGATGGCGCTCTAAATGAAAGACGTTCAAGTCATGCGATACGAGAAATGGGATACGCGGCTGGGGGTTGGTAGTCATCGACCGGCTGATTGCGCGTAGCGTTTGACGTAATATTGAAACTATCGCGAACAATGACAGCTCCTGTCTCATTTGCGGTCAAAATGCGCTGTCACTTTGCGTAGTTTTTCGCGTAGTCTTTTTAACGTACACTGTGCCGTTGCCATCGTCCTAGTAGTAGTAGCAGTACTAGTATTAACAGCAGGAGTAGTAATAGTATTAGTCGTAATAATATCTGGGGGTTTTATGTCCTAAAACAACGATGTGATTATGAGCGACGCCGTAGTTTGTCCATCCGAAAACCTTTACCACCCGGAAATGTTTACCATCGAAATGCGTCCGCCGCGGCTGGGGTTGAACCCGCGTCTTTCGGTTCAGCAGCCTAGCACCATATTCACTGCCACTGTTTTGACGCGGAGTAGTCGTAGTAGTTGGTAGTAGTTAGTAACACACGTCGCGTGACCAAAGGGTGAGTGACCAAAGAAATTAATACTATGAAGTGATGATTATTATGTTGATGCCTGATATAATGATTATCATGATTATTAATATAATGATTATCATGAATATTGATATAATGATTTAATGATTATATGATATAATGATTATCATAATTTCGTCGCATTGTTTGGAAGCGTGATTAAGGCAGGATATCGGGGGAATACAAAATCTTGAAGAGGTGGAAAATTTTTTAACATACTGTGTTGCTGGCTCCAGCAATATGTTTAATATGTTTAATATGTTTAATACGTTTAATATGTAATATGGTTAATATGTTTGGAAGCTTGTGACGGCCAGCGCAAAGAACGCGCGAAACAAAAGAAAATACACGACATTGAAATTTCGAAGCTGATGCGTATCTCAAAATTGGTGTCATTCTAAGAGTTCTTTATAAGTGTACACACCTTGAAAACTCTGATACACTTCTGTAATGCGTAATACATGTCATAAATGTTTGCTGTCAATGTTAATGAACATTTTATGAATTAGTCGAATTAGTCACAGGGTTCCTCACGCGTTTGCATAAGACAACTCTAAGGCGAAAAACTCGGCTTTTTCTCCTCAGTCGGTTGCATTGACCCTCGAAGGACTTCTGCACCGCATGAGGTTTTTTAGTTCCTCTAGGTTCGGCTCATGTATGAACAAGCGACGTTATGTATGTGAATATGTCGTCATATAGCGTCGTATAATAAGGTCATGCTGACGTCACAAATTTTGCCAATATGTAACATCATGGTGACGTCATGTGGTTACGTCAACACATCATGACGCTTTCTTGCATACTCGTGTGGACGACGATGGTCAATTCTCGTTTTCGATGAGGCATTGAAGGCTTTTACCCGAAGAAACAAAACCACTGATGCTGAGTTTGTTGTTGTTGTTGTTGTTGTTGTGTTGTTGTTGTTGTTGTTGTTGTTGTTGTTGTTGTTGTTGTTGTTGTTGAAACACCCCGCGTTCCATGTGTATGTCGCAGACGAATCGTGGAGGCACGTTTGCAGCACACCGTTTATAACGAACTCCTTGGAGAACTCTTGAGCCCTGAAGGTGTTCAGCAGAACCAACTGAGTCCCTTAAGCGAGGGTTACACCACATACGACGCTGCAGTGGACGCTACTGTTTACAACGAGTTCACAACGGCAGCGCTTAGGCTGGGTCACTCAATAATTGACGACGACAATGAGACGTGAGTGAACATAGTAGACGAGACTTCAATATTACCGCGAGAAATGCCTGTGGTTTGTTCATTTATGCGTTTAGTTGCCGGCGTCAGGGAGCGCTTGTTTGTATTACCTATGTTCGAAGCAAAGTGCGTGTTGTTTCTTCTCTCTCTATTTTGCATGCCGCACAGACCACCCAACTTGATAGGACAGTGCTTCACCCTTTTGTCACTAGAGCAATGTTATCGGCATAATTATATGGGTCCGAAAAAAAATTTAAAAAATATAGCACCGAGGCAAAGCCTACAAAAAAAAAAAAAACCCTGCTACATCATCCCCCCCCCCACCACAACGCTCATTTGTGCACATCGCTCGGTCGACAACTCCTTCGCGCTTTATATATTTTTATTCATTCTGCTGCGCAGCTCAAGTTCTCTCCAATAAACCATGTGGAACGAAGGAACATGACGTCGGTTTTGCCACTGGGACGATTTTACGGGTGAAAATTGCTGAGGCTGTCCTGTATACTATACGTGCTACGAAGTTGTATATGACAGTTTCTGTGTCACTTACAATGACAAACGAACAGCCATTGTTGTGGCGAGTGCTACAGCCTCTTCCTCCAAAGAAGAGGCTCGACTGAATGTTGCCGTTGCAGCAGCTTTGCCGCCTAGTTTTGCTCCTGTAAAGCGTGCATCACCCTTAACATAAATGCGTAAGGTGCAGCGCAACAACTTACCTGAGAAACAGCAGTTTTTTTTTTTTACCGCCGAGTTATGGTTGAGTTACACCATGTGTTTTAAATAAACAATTTTCATCTTCATGATGAGACAAGCGCAAAAAATACACACACTAAGAGAGGACACAGACAAGCGCTTGTCTGTGTCCTCTCTGAGTGTGTGTATTTTTTGCGCTTGTCTCATCATAAACCATTACCAACACGCCCAACTGGCAGTCATCCTTAATGTAATTTTCATCTTCATAAACTAATACGCGCTAAGTCACCACCTAACTACTATGTACAGATAGTTTATCAGAGAGGCTGCAAGGTACGGCCCCTAACAGGTGTTTGCTGCCCATGTGTTCCCTTTATTTTCAGTGGACTAGAGTGGTGAGGCATGCTACTAAGACTCGCCCAGTTGCTGTAGCATACTGCTAAAGCAGGAAACAAGAAAGCACATGTATAGCGTAATATAGTTAGAGGTGGGAAAGAGACCGTTGAGGGGTTAAGAGACTATAGCCAAGCCAGGTAGGTGCCCTGCAGCTATGCTGTGACACCGCCTAGCGCTACTTTTATTGCAATAGCAATTATATGGACACTCTCGGCTGGATTTTGCCGCCGGCGTTGGCGCCGTCACTCACTGTATATATATATATATATATATATATATATATATATATATATATATATATATATACAAAAATGCAAGAAAGAAAAATAAGAAAAATTATTTAGAAAAAGACTCTGCCGCGTGGAATCGAACGTGGGACCTCTGAATCTTGAGTGCGAGATCAACGTCTCCTCTAGAAAGATGCCTGTGACTTGAGCCGAAAAGCTGGTTCCCGGTCCTTTCCTGTTCTTTCCTCCTCTGCTCCCTTAAACGTTGTCGGCTGCGAGTGCTCGCTGCGGCGGCCGTTTTAAACCATACCACCTGTGAGACTAAAGCAGTGTCTACTGCCGTCTTGGGGGCTACACAGTCGTGTCTCTGTGATGGCGTTACTTCCTAATCCAGCGGAAGTAGTAGTGTCGGCTTTGAGCGCTCTTTGCGGAGAAAGCACTGAACAACGAGGAACCTCCCTATTCCATGGGAAAGCGTGTAATGTAGCAGGCATCTTTATAGAGGAGGCATTAACTACTGAGCCATGGAAAAACAAAACACGTTCTTCAATGTTCAAACGGCCAGCTATTCATATCTACACCTTACCACTGGTGACGGGCATTTCGGGAAGAACTATCGTGTTTTCAACACTACTAGCAAGGATGCACAATGAGCGCGCGTCGCCACATCGTCACGACGCGGTGGTGCATGCCCTCATCGCCTACGCGTACTTTGCACCGCGGAGAGGAGGGGGGTGGATGATCACTCGCGCTCTTATCTCGCGGTGGGGAGCATGGTACGTCTTGGCTGGCCTTGGGGTTTTACCCGAACGATTCTGTTGTAGTTATCGGGCGCACAAAGGTCAATTGTTGCACAGTCTCTGTTTGCGATAAGGGCGCGCTTTTCAGACACAGCGAAGTAACAACTGAGACGCTTATTCGCATTCATATGTACCTGAGAGTACGTTTGGTGCGTCGTTTGTGCGTGAGAAACGCGGGGCACGTTTTGATCTGCTTGTCATTCTGCGCGTGACCTTCCGATTTGTTGCTATCGCGTTCATTGATTGCTTTGCCTTTGCGGCAAAGCTGCGACTTTTTTAGATTAACTAAAATTGATTGCTCTTGAGGAAGATAAATTATTGGAGGAAACAAGAGTAAATATGAAAATTATTCATCAAGTTGTTTAACTTAAATATAATGAAAAATAAAGCCAAGAGTGGCTGTTATCAAAAGTTGGACGCACAGTTGTTGCAGTTTTTTTTATTTTGGCCCATTTGTAGTTAGTCGTTGACAGAGCGCTAATGTGATAGTATTACAGGTGGATCTCGGCAACTTGATAAGTTTGTAACAGAAAGCTAAGCAAGTGCATAATCGAGTGCTTCACTGCGTGAACTAAATTACGAGCGTGAATTTTTTCTCATAAATTCTTACATTCTTACTGTATGACCTGGAAGGGCTCGTGATGGCTAACGAAATGAACTCGAAGCACAATATCAATTACGCCATTTTTATATCTACAAGCTATCGCGTTCATTGCTTCGCCTCTGCGGCAAAGCTGTGACTTTTTTTTTTTTTCACTGGAAATCGTATTACGTGTGCTTGCTGTTTTTGATCATTTCTTCTTTTTCTCGGTTATCTTTAATTAAACATCACTTTTGTGGTGTTGGGATAGCCGGTTATAGCACAGTCTACTTTCTCATTATCTCATTCAAATATAACAAGAGCATCCACCAAAATTAATTAGAAGGAACTGCACCACATGGCATTGGAGTGTTATATTTTTTTTCTCATGCATTCATTTACCTAAACAAAGCGTGATTCTTGGATTTGTTATCATTTCAGAGTACATCTTCCCGGAGAACATGAGTGGCGCTTACCGTTGCGCCTCAACTGGTTTAACCCTTTCGCCTTTTACGGTGCTCACGTCATGGATGCCGTCACCGCCAGCAGGTTGCGGAAGCCATCTCAGAAGATTGACAGGCAAGGCTGCTTCACTAAGAGCTGTCACAATGCTCTCGTTTGCTGCATGATTTTATTGCCTTTACTGTTCTAAAGAAATCAGTTTCTCTCCAAGGGCGAAGCAACGAATGGGGTAGCAATGAGCTGGAATGTGATACAAAGTTAGGCTAGCAGCTAACTCTTTTGGCTTCGATTTCGCGTAACCCTACAAAACGCTGGCGTTAGGGAATGCGGCCGCGCTCCATGCATCGAACCGGTTTTCATGCTGTCTGTCGCGTCGACGTGAAGTGTAAGCGATGAGAACAAATTACAGATAAGGGTATGCGAGCCGTCGACTGACGTTTGTCGAGATAGCGCCCTTTTGATCAATGTTCGCAGTATATAGGTGCTCAAGCGACGCGTGCACCCCTCCCTCGCCATCCCCCTAAGGGGAAGGAAGGAAAGGGGAAGGAAGAAAAAGTAGGAAATGAACTTCAGCGTGCGGAAACCTTGTGGAAGCCAGAGCTTAGCATAATTAGCGTCACGCGAGCGTCTCATTTATTCTACGAGAATTTGTTGTTGGACTAGTTGGTAGAGCATTTTGAAAAGTTAATTCGAGCGCGAAAACTTGACACGATCACTCACACACGCACACACCCATGCATTGTGTGTTTGATACATGGGTGTGTGCGTGTGTGAGTGATCGTGTCAAGTTTTCGCGCTCGAATTAACTTTTCGAAAGTCTCATTTATTTAACGTGGTTGCTTGGGCGAGTTGGTACGACATGATTCACATAAAAAACAGCGCCAAAAACGAGAGACAAGAAAAACAAGAAAAAAGAAAAAGAACGAGACAGCCACTGTCTGTCTCCTTCTTTTTCTTGTCTCTCGTTTTTGGCGCTGTTTTTTATGTGACTCATTTATTTATTCCTCGTTGGTTCAGTGTCATAGCGAGTGTGCCTTGGGCGCAGATACGGCACTCACGATGTGACCAGGCACGCATTCCGGCGCCCGGACGGCCCGAAGCCCTTCGGCGTCGACCTGTTCGCATTCGACATACAGCGAGGTCGCGACCATGGACTAAGACCCTACGTCGACTACGTGCGCCACTGCGCACCGGACGTCCCGTTGGATGAATTCGAACACCTCGAAAGGCTCATGCCCAGAGACGCGGTGGAGCTTTTTGCCGGCCTCTACGAGTAAGAACACGTCTGCTTCAAGTAACGTAAAATGTTCGAGCGCAAGAAGGAGACATTCACGAGATTATTAGCGTTTGAATTTTGAGAAGTGGTGCATTGCTGAACTTGAATTGATGGTGCAAATGTTTAGACACGGATTTTACGTGTCTTCTTCCCCCTTGTCTAAGCGTCTGCGCCATCGATTCAACTTCAACATTCACGAGAACGGGAGAGACAGTACGCTCTAGCGCTGTCCTGTCCAGCGCCCGTCCTGTCTCTACCTCGTTCTCGTGGGACTTGCTCGCTGAAGTTCGTGCCGACTGGTTGTGCTCCCGCGATCTTCGACGACAGCGCAACTCTGGCCGACTGGGCTCGCCCTACGCCATCTCCTGACGCCGACAAGAGCTCTCGCCGAGTGGTGCCCCGTCCTCGGACTCCTGCGACCGTGTCCATCTTTCCTATCTGTTCCTTACATAGGTATGCGGATGTCCCTGCGCCTCGCTCTCTCCTTCCGCTCTCTCTGTCTTCATACCTTTTAACCCTATATCCTCTTTTAATCCCTCCTCACGCATATCCCTTGTGAGCTACTGTTGAGGTGTCCTCCCCCTGAGAGACAGTTACGGGGCTCACATTTATCTTCTTTTCATTTAAAAATTACTCCCCCCCCATTCTCGTGAATGTCTCGTTTCCGCCCTCAGAAATTTCCGAAGCATCACCTCGCCTAACGTAAAGTTTTGTTAATACCTACTTTAAGGCCTGTATAGGTTTAAGGCTGGTTGCCGGGTGTTTTCACTGAGCTGCAACGGGAATGAACGTAAAGTTTTGTTAATACCTTCTTTAAGGCTAAAAAAATCTAGGCCTCTATCTAAAATGCAGTAGCTGCGGCCGGAATTCGATCCCGTGAACTTTGCGTCAGCAGTCAGGTATCATTAATAATTAGAACGCTGCGGCGAGCGGATATTAAAACAGAATAAGAAAATAGAAAATATGTCGCCAGTCTTTATTACACGCTCTAGAGGCCGTAATGCGTTAGCATAGGCTCATCCCTATCATGCCATTGATTGTAGACTGCTGGCCCGTTCCATCGAAAAGAACAGAAGGGTTAATTGGAGAGCATGGTTAGTTTTTTTTGTCAGGCGTAATATTAATAACTAAGATACAATGATGCAAATAAATATATAGTGAGAGATGTTATTCGCAATCCAAACATGAAAAAAAGAAAAGTGGATGAAAAGATAACTTGCCGCTGGCAGGATCCGAACCGGCGACCTTCTAATAACGCGTCCGATGCTCTACCTCTGAGCTACGGTGGCGGTCATTCCCCCATTTACTTTATAGGGTATATATGTCAATTTATACTTGTTAGTGTCTGTCAGTGCCGCTAGTAGACGGCAAGTGTGGAACACTAACTTTCTGCCTTTTGACGTTACGTAGCACGTGATGCTACACCAATGTGATTCCCTTATGTGATGAAGCACCTGATGTGGTGTGGCAATGCACCTGATGTGATCGTGTGCGACAGCGACGTCGGGGACGTGGACCTGTTCTCTGCTGGCCTGGCGGAACGCACAATGCCTGCGTCCATGGTGGGGCCCACGTTTGCCTGCCTGATCGGCCCCATGTTCCGGAGGCTCAAGTATGGTGACAGGTTCTACTACGAACATGGCGGGCAGGCTGGTTCCTTCACTCCAGGCAAGTAATCGCAGCATTACAACACGTGTGCGGTTACACATGACAGAAAAAAAAAACCGGTACGGCCTCGTATGAATTTGCTGAAGGCGACTCGAAGGCAAAGGCCATTTTTACTTCTCAGTCGATGTGCTGATGCTCTCGCCCCCCCTCCCCGCCTTCTCCACCCTCAACTCTCGGGGGCTGAGAGGGCATCAATTAGAAGTATTTTTGCATCCAACTTAGTTTCGCATTGCCTCTGAGGTTGGCTCACCTTTGATAAAGTGATGATGCCATGTGATGACCTCACGGCGGGACGCAAAAGACGCCATAGTGACGTCACCATGACGCCGTCGCGTTACGACGACTTTTCGCATCACCCGACGCCAGCTATGCTGACGGACGACTCGAGCGTTTGGTGAGGCATCAAAAGATTTCGCTTGTAAAATATGAAACTGTTCGAAACTCTCAAAAGAGATCTCTGTTACCGCAGAAAGTCACTCTGTACTCGACGGAATGTGGCAAGGTTAAAATTTTCGCACTCTTTGATTCATGGAAAGTTTGGCGCTCTGGTGACAGGTCAGGTTACACTATCGCACAACTTCAGCTCGACTCCTTTGTTCGCAAAACAAAAGTTCACACACACACACACGCCCACGCACGCACGCACACACGCACGCACACCCGCACATGCACACACATTATTTTCAAGAATGATCTGCGATTGGAATTATGCCCACAGCATTTGAAACATATTCGCCACTTCTACTGGGTGGTCTCCTCAGAGGTCATGTATACCTTGTGGGGTCTCGACGAGGCGAGCGCCTCGCCATGCTCTTGGAGTGAACGGACACAGCAGACGCGGTCGGTACAAACCACGTAACATACATACATTTATTTAACTAATTTTAGAAGGACGATATCGTCCGCTGAATGATACATCAGTAATGAACACGCTAGGACATCGTTGCACCATGATTTCCATACACTCCAAAACATGGCAAACACACAATAACACACCCAAGGCGGCATCGCCAACGCTTGACTTACCACGAGGGCCCCCGACGCGCAGGCCCGCGGTGCCCCGCACCGAGGACCCACGCTAGAGACAACCGTTCGCGGCAACCGCCACGCGCAGAAGAGACTCGCTCAACTCTCGCCCGCCGCCAAGGCGTGCCTTCCGCCGCCAGGGGTCACCGCTGGCGCTACCACTCTACCAATAGTGGTATGGATGGATGGATGGATGGATGGATGGATGGATGTGGCTGTACCCTTTAGATCGGGCGGCGGCTAACGCCGCCTAGCCGTAATACTTAGTGAACTAACCACTAGATTTCTCTTTTTTTCCCTTTCAATAGTGAGGTTGAGAATTCGTACTTTGCAGTGAAGGGTTTAATTTTCACTCGTGCCTTGACTTTAGCCACCAATCAGACAACCTTCTTCTAGTTAATTCTACCCGCTTAAAGTCTATTTTGCCCCTCCCTGTCCCTAAACCCCAGTGCTTTGAAAAACTCTGCGCCATCATCCTGAACTATAGGGTGAAGCCCTTTACAGAACATTATCAAGTGTTCGGCAGTTTCCTCCACATGCACTGCATACCGTGTCTACCGCTTCGTATCTGGCCCGATATGTCTTGGTTCGCAATACCCCCGTCCTGGCCTCAAACAGTAGAGAACTACCCCGAGTATTATCATAGATTCTTTCCTTGGCAATTTCCTGCTTAAAAGTTCGATAGATCTCTAGTGCAGGCTTCTTAATCATGCCAATTTGCGACATGTCAGTCTCCGTTTCCTTCACTTTTTTCTTAACCGATACTTCTTTTTGGTTTGGCCACCTGCTGTTTTCTAAGTATTTACCAGTTAATTTACTGATTCGCTTCCTCCAGTTTGTATCGACATTCCTCATGTACAAGTAGCTGAAAACTTACCTAGCCCAACGCTCCTCCCCCATTTCTCTCAATCGCTTCTCAAATTTTATCTTGCTGCTAGCTTCTTTGTCCTCAAATGATATTCATCCCATATCACCGTGTACTCCCTGATTTGGTGTATTCCCGTGAGCTCCTAAGATGGCGTTGTGTTCGTACTCAACGCGAACACAACGCCATCTATCGTCCGATGGTTGTCACCCCTGAAATACGGCTTCTGTTCGAGACATGCGCGACACTTGACGCAAACAACTATACAGGGGGTGTCAGCAACACCACAACCTACCATGTAGGAAGGAAGGAAGAACAAGAAAGTAGGTGGGCAGGTTAGCCAGGCACTTGCCCAGTTTGCAACCCTACGCTGGGAAAATAGGAAATTGGAGAATAAAGATGAGAAAGAGAAAAAGGAATAAGAGGAGGAAATTGTCAGTATTTGTGCTGACATGTATACAGCGGTGGCACTATGCAAAAGTCAAAGGCGTTCACATAGACCCGTAGTACCTAGAAAGCGCAAGAAGGCTTTGACTGCCTTGTGAGCCGACGAAAGACGAGGATGGTGCTCCAGCAGAATCTGCACAGGGAGCGACCGATCGTTCAATTGTCGCAACGCGTCAGATTGTTGTGTCTAGGCGAATCGAAGACAATGTCATAGCAGATGGTGCGGCATACTTGGATGTAAAAATGTTTTGGTTAACGTTTTATTGTTCATAATTATCACAATTTTTTGCCCGTCCTGCTTGGATCATGAGGGTCTGCAGCATTATGTGAATATGTAAAATGGAATGTTTCACAGCACTCAGAGTAACCCGGGCAGTACATGAGGTTATCGCACAGTCCTCCACCAATGAATGACGTCTCTCATAGTCGATGTGTAAGTTTGTACTCAAGCAATGAATGAATCAGTTTCATATTTTCACAATCGTTGCCAAATCAATATGTTTGTGTGCCTCTGCACAGGTCAGCTTAGGACGATACGGCAAACTCTGCTAGCCCATGTAATATGTGCCAACAGCGACACCATTCAGGAAATTCAACCCAGTGCACTGAGGCTTGAGGGGCCTGGGTAAGCCATTTGAACTATACGCTGCAACATTGAACAGCAATGCCAACTCAGGCGATTGGTTCGTACTGTAGATATCGCTTCGGTTGTCGTGCCGTGAGGCTGTTTGAAACTGATGCCACTTACAATGTACAGACGGGTCCTCTGTTAAAGGAACACATACGTGAACGGCATGTTTAGATTTCAGCCTTGCAAAAGCATGGCGGCTTACATTTGCGTAAGACTACCTCTGATTCACAACGTCATTTCATTTCACAGACTAGTGCCGTGCATAATAGTTGTTTTCTTATCCGCTTGCTGTTAGAGGGCTGGTAATATTAGTGGTGCTCATTGTAGTGGCTCCTTTAACAGCGGTCGGTACTGTACATTATTGAAAGAAATCTGAATTTGTAGCGTGCTGCAATATGTCAGTGTACTGCCACTCGTTAAAACGACCAGAAACATTGAAATGAAATAGCCCTTATTTTTATAGCTGTACTGCACCCATATTTATGCAAAACGCATGCGTGAAGCTATTGCTGAGCGTTCTATTCGTACAGAAAAATGATGCAGTAATACATGCAGAAAGAATTAATCAAAACCTTAGCTGAAATGTAAGTTGTTGAAAAACAGGGCAGAAAAACATGAAATACTATATAAACAGTTCAAAATATCGGACTTATAAGTTTCCTGCAGGCATTGGATGGAAGGTAAAAAAAAAAGAGTGGTGAAATGGTATCCGAAGCGATAGACAAAGAATAGGGCAAGCAGTGACCAGTTTGGGTTTCTCTTTCTTTTTTTATTTACGCAGAAACGAATTGACGGACTGCTCGAAGCTCACCGATATCGACTTCCTGCAGTGGAAAGAAATAAAATGAGTCACGTGTTCAATGGCGTACAGTGCATGGAGGGCACCAAGCCTGTGTTTTATCATTATTTTTAAAATTTATCGAATGTGTGCTGTTCTTCTCCTTCTCTTCTGAATTATAACGTGTGCTTCATTCAATATTCAGATGAGCTTTTATATCTCTACGCGAATGCTGCATAGTTCCTAAACTGTCTTCGCGTTGCGTTTTAACACCGTTAACTCTTGCTTTTCCACATAAAACGTGTTTATTTGGGGAAGCCCACTTTTTCACATTTTAGGGTTATCATTTGATTACGATTAAATGATGTTCCGTGCGGGGAGTTTTCCCTTTTTCGGGGAATTTCCGCCTGTCAGTTTGAGACACAGGAAAAAAAGAAATCTTCGTGATACTACAGAAAATTTCAGAAATTGTTGAATTCTCCTATGACAATCGATAATTAGCGGTCACTAGTGCGCCTTCATCTTTTGTACTTGGTTCTGTCGCATGTAACACGCTAGCATAGCCCTTCGGATGTTTCTGATATTTACGCGGAGCGGTTTCTAGTTCACTTTTGTGGTAGACTTGAGGCCCACAATGTGCGGTGTACTTATAGTATATGAATGCTTTTGTTCTGTGGCAGTGGAAAGGCTAATCATGATTTCAAAAGTCACCATGTACGTCAGGCACGTGTATATATAGTATGTGTGTGCGTGGATAGGGGTGAAAATAAGTACTGTTGTACAGGGAAATATGCTGGGAATTCCATCAGCGTTTGCAGGAAAAAATCTTCAAAATATAGAATTTTCATGTCTCTGAATGGAAATTCTACGGCGTAGCACGGAACATCACTGTCACGATTGCGTAATTGTACGTAGAAGCTATAAAGAATTCGCTAAACTTCTTCACTAGCATAATTTTATTATGTTAGTCACATAATCAAATATAATCCTGAAGCACTCTTTGCTGGGCTAGTCAGTTTCCTAATAAAAAATCACAGCATATCCACGGAGTGAACGATGATGAGTAGGGCGACGCTCCGAAGAGTTTTATCGGCAAACCGTGAATTACGCGCTGACTACGTCCGTCCGTCCGTCCGTCCATCTATTTGTGTCTGTCTGTCCGTCCGTCCATCTAGTGAACGCTCCAAGTACTGCCATCTCGCATCTTCTCATCATATATTCATCATATACAAGTGCCGCCGTCTAGCGGACATTCCGAGGACTAAAACAAAAGCTGGCTACTACATACAAAGGACGCACAACCCACGCCTTAGGGAGCTTCACCTCTAATACATTATATGGGAATCTTGTGTGTCTACACACAATCATGAGCACACACGGGGAAGAACACACAGTCTACAGGCGGCCACTCAAATTTGTTGACTTTAAGTAAAGTAGGAGGGCTTTAGTCGCTTTCTGCTCAACTGAGGCAGATGCCCAAGGTCCCAGAATCTTCTGCACACTGAATGGTCTAGAGTCAAGTTGATTCAAAACCATCCGGAGCTGGCATAGCTGTGCGCCTTTTTTCTCCTCTTCATCCCTTCCCCAGTCCAGGGTAGCAAACCGGATGTGCTTCTGGTTAACGTCCCTGCCTTTTCTTGCATCTTTATCTCTCTCTCTCTCTCTCTCTCTCTCTCTTGTGTGTGTCTACGGGATCTGCAACGCGTGGCGCTTCGGTCAGCATGGGAATGATAAGATTATTTTACCTATCACATGTGGGCGCCGATACCTTCGTCTGTTAGGTCAATGTTTTCCTGTTTTTGTATATTGTGATGTGAACGAATAAGGTCATGAAATCATCGTAGGATTCATTACTATTTTCATGTGTATGCTTCTACCGCAACACTGTCCGTTTAGTTGTAAAAGATGCACAACACAGAGGTCAACAGCTCAACATGGCGGTACTGAAACCCCTTCGTAAAATAGTCCGTCTAAGGTTCGTTCTTTTGGCTCCCCTTGGCTCTGTGCAACCTGGAGCCGACTTGTCATAAGACGAACTTCAGTCAACGTGCAGCACTTCCATGGCTCTAACCTTTTTAGACTCGCTCATTGAAATCTGCTCGCGAAGTTCTCAACAATCCATTCCTTCATTCGCACAACAATAAACAAAGCCACAGATGCGGTCGAAGACACAAACACGAATATTAGGCAAATCAATGTACGATAACATCGTTCCCATGCTGGCCGATCGCAGCGCCAGAGTTCTCTCTAGTGATTAATACAGGAAACTATGGGTGTACCAGAGAAACAAGCTCGTTTGTTTTAAGTCGAAAACATGAACGCTTCGACAAATTTTATCAGAGATTCGGACACCGCTGTTTAGCCAGAGTTTATATTTAAGCTTCGAACGGCGAACTTAGCTTTCAACATACGTGATACTTACTCTAGCGCTGACAGAGGTACCTACGGTTCGAAAGGAACGAATATTGCGTCACCCTCTTACTTACAGGTGATTCACAAGCTCGCCGAAGATCAGCAAGTGGAGATTGTATGTATTATGTTACGGATTTTAGTAACGAAAGTTGTACGCTTCTTAAGAGGTCCCACGTGGCACGCGTTATTTGTATGCACACAGACACTGTCATACGGCCACAAAACGGTCTTTTATTGGCGGTCCACTGTTGGCGACGCGATTTCCACGCACGAAGCGCTACGCTTCGTCGACGAGAACGACATCTTGCTGAAGGCCGAGAACACAAACGAATTCCTCGCCCTCGGCTTGGATTTCGGCCGTTCTGCTCTGATGCGCGAAGCCGCTGGGACGGGAAATTCCAGAAGTTCCGGCATCGAGCTGGCCTTGGCCTTCGACGCCGACGCGTTGGACAAGGCGAACGTCACTCTCTTCTTCGACCTCTTGGGGGCCGGCGTCGAGATCAGGGTGTCGGAGACCGCTTTCTCTGGCGTCGCGGGAGTCCCGGCCGGGAAGGGTCGCCGGAGGCTGTCGTCCGGGCTGCCCACGTCGTTTACCAGACACTCCAGGAATGTCGCGTCATCTGTGAGGAAAGTTGCAGTGCGTTACTGTCAACACCGAACTCACGAAACTGAGAGCTGTTAGGAAGCACACGCCCTTTTGTTGTTGTTTGTGTACAGAGCAATTGTATGGACCCATGGGATGCATTCTTGCTGTCGCCGTCATGTTCCGTATAAAGTGCGGATCGACATTGTCGCTTCGCGTGTCGTACTTTCGGTATGTGAGCGAAAGATGGCAAAGGCTGCCGGCGGGCGCGGCTCAACTAGAGATGAAACGCACCGGCTGGTTCCGTCGTGTGGAGGAGCACCATGGGTGCTGGTGGGGATGGGGATGCGTCGCTATAGGGCAGCAATTGCAAACGGGTACAGTCGCGCTATCTCGACGGAGATCAGCAGGTGGCTCATAGCTTTGTAGTCGCCTCGCACCGTTTACCTCGTGGTGAAGCAGCAGACACTGCCAAAAGCGCTTTGCTTCCTCAAGAGGCCGAATTTCTTTACGCCAGCGTTTTGTAGAGTTGCGCCAGAGGGGACGCTAGGGGAGTTAGGTGCTGACCTTGATTCGTATAACGTTTCATTTGTTGCTGTCGTGTTTATTGCTTCGCCGTTATAGTGAAACTGTGACTTATTTTTTATATTTCAAATATTGCCCTACAGCTGCACTGTTGCATAGACGATATGAGTTGAGGGGGCCGAAAGAAAATGGCAAGGCAACGGCTTATTCGATGCGCAACGCGGACACCTGGAAATTGTCACGTAGTGAAGGGAGGTATAGATCTCACGAAAACCATGCTATAGTGGAACCATCGCCTTGCTGGTCATTCATCTGCAATGCACTAAAAGTGATGGAGTCATAACAGGGAAATCACGAGTCAGTGCCGTACGCGTTAACTTACAGTGCAGTTTCTTTGCCTTCTTCATGTCGCTGTCAGTGTATCGAAAATGACAAACACATAGCTTGTGTTGTGTCGACATTCAGGTCGTAACAAACCTATTTCGAATGAAGAGAGGGACATCTCGGGAGAGCCTCGGTCGAACCGTTTGCTGTAGGCGCTGTTCCATCTCATGAAGCTCGGTGGAGTGATGTCGCTGGAGGCCGAGGTTGCCGGCCTCGTTCTCCGGATCTGTCAAAGAGCCAGGGGAAGACGACACGCCGCAGCCTTTGAGGCGTTATGCACACAACTACGTACACCACTCGTGCTTGCTATTTGTGTCAGGGGCCAAGAAAGGGCAAGAAACGCGGAGCTTTGAATGTATAGAATTTCCTGCATAATTAACTTGTCTTACTTAACTTCATTTCGCAGGGTATGCTGTTGCATGTTTTATTTATAAATTATAATTATGACTTAGATTTCTGTGGTTTATCTAATATTCATCTTTTTGCTGACGATTGCGTAATATTTATAGAAATAACTTCTAACAATGATTACAACAATGTCACGCTTTTTCCGTTTACGCTTCTTTGTTCCTGTGTTCGTCCGATTGTATGCGCAACGAGACACACCATAGACATGCACCAGCTCGCACAGCAAGAAGGTCTTCTTAAATGATGCAACCATTCTTCAGTCTCACCTTGACGCTATCAGTTCACGGTGTAACACATGGCAAATACGGAACTAAGCATAACTTAAATGCAAGGCAATGCACCTTACTAGACGTACTAACCCTTTCACCAGCCTATGATATCGCTAACACCCCTCTAGATTGTGTTTAAACTTACAAATAACTTGGTGTCCACATTTCGTCTGAGCTTACCTGGAATACGCACATTGCACACCTATAACAAGCAAAGCTAACAAATCACTTGGCTATCTCCGGCGAAATTTTTCACGTGCACCACAATCCCGTGAAACTCATTGTCTACAAAACACTTATCCTGCCTAAACTATTATGCAGCCTCTTTATGACACCCCAGTTAGCATAAATAGATTGACTTAGTAGAAAAAAATCAAAACAATTCCACACCATTAATTACATCTAACTATAACAGAACAGCTAGCATCAGTCTAATGAAAACTAATCTAGAATTACCATCTTTAGCCTTACAGCGTAAAATCGCGTGCC